GCATCACCAGGAATGATCCCTGAGTGCAGAGGCAGGAATAAGCCCTGAACACAGTCGGATATGTGGCCCAAACATTAAAAAAAATTTTCTTTGTTGTTTTAAAGAATTATGATAAAGGGGGTGTATGATAAAGTGACTTAGAACCGTCTTGTACATGTGGGTTATGCATTTGACCCCAGTGCTAGACCAGGGGTCTCCACTCCATGACTAAGGTGGCAGCTTCCCCAGCACTGCAACTGAGAGTGTGTGAGCACTGCAGCTAGAGGGTGTGACCTCCAGTTGTGGTACCAACGGGAAAGGGAAGGAAAAGGGGAAAGTGATGATAGGAAGTGATAAAAACCGATAGAGACTTTAAAAGCCTGTGTGGGATGGCGGAGTTGAGCAGAGCTCTTGACAAATGTCTGCGTAGCGTTTTGTTCGATGTAACATGGGCATAACAGTGAGGAAGACATTTTCAGAAAACAGACTCTTCTGACTAGAGGCAGCAAAGTCTCAGAAATTGCTACTGCCACGGAAGGCCGTAGTTGCAGGAGTTTGTTTTCTTCCTCTTTTCCCCCTCATAGGACCACTTCTGTGCTCAGTGGCCAGAAAGGACTGTTCCTCATTAAAGCAACTTCCTTCCACTGCATGGGAAAGTGCAGCCTGAAAATTTATCAGAGAAAAATGAAGGAGTGATTGTGCATCCTGGGACAGTATCAGGATGGGTGGGAAGGGTGGGGTGGGGGGGGGGCAGGAGGAAACTTCTTAAGTGATAAAGAAGCTGCCCTTGGGTTCCCTCCTGCAGGAAAAGGGGGTGATGAATCAGGGTTCCGAGAAACCGCAGCGTCTGAGCCTGGTTGAATCGTCATGAGTCCACACACCTGGTGCTAGTTTGGAGCCTCTGCTCGGGCGCAAACTGCACCGTGCGTTAAGAAGGTGCTCACCGTGACTGTGTCGTGGCAAGGGAAATCGATTCATCTCTCCACTTCCCTTACTTCCTGTTTCATCTTCCTCTGACATGTTTCTAATTAGAATTTCAACCGGGTTACATTTGGAGAAGCCAGCTCACCTCTTGTCGTCCCTTTGGAGAAGTTGCAGCCACAATTCCCTCCACACCGTGGAGTGAAATCCTTTATTAGCTCCCAGTGTATTTTTAACTGTTCTCATAGAAAGTTGAGCAATTTTTTTTTATAAACAGGAAATAATGCTAGCTGCTTTCTGTGCATTTCACGAGGGAATGGGCTATTGTGTACCTTCCATGTCCCCCCTCCCCCCGATAAAAAGAAGCCTTTCATCAAAAACTGACATCCTAAATGAAGGGCATAATTGTACAGCTTATTTATTAGCATGTCAAACTTAAAATGTAATGGTTTCATATTTCAGAATGAACCGTGTGTTGTGATTCATGGTCGTCGGTGACAAAATAGACAGCTCTTTCCTATTACTGCCCCAGTTGCGGGCTCACATGCCACCGTGCCTTTTTTTTTTTTCTAATTATTATTCTTTTCTCTTCCGATGCAATAGCTCCCTCTACTTGAAAATATTGGTGCATATAGTTTAATTCTGTGTATTTTATTAATGAGTTTCCATGAGAGTCATTTTACTTTTTCAGTTCTCTTCATAAATATGTGGTGTTATAGTTGGGAGCATTTAAGAAATTTACTGGTGGGGCGAAGGGGGGGGGGTCGTGTAAGGGTGTGGTGATGCAGAGAATTATCCTGAATTTCTTGACTGGGGAAGTAGGAAAGCAAAGATAGCAAAGGAAGGTGAAATAAATTATGCTTAATGGCATTTTTCAAGGAAGTACTGTGCGGCCTTTGATGGGTTCAATGTGGTATATTTGCTTGAAATTCTGGTCAGTACTTAAAATGAGCCTTGAGTTTTTTATACACAGAAGTGTAGAAAACTAGATCAAAAATTTCAAAAGAGCTAATAGATACTTCAGACATATCCTGGAACTCGGCAGATTTGCACTTTGCTTGTTGCAAAATTGGGCTTTGAACTCCCAACATAGTGCTTTTCCTCTAGTAGTAAGAGAACTAGTAGTAAAGGAATCCCTCCCTCCTGCATTTTTTGTGCAATAGGATGTGCCAACTGAAACAATAGAAGCAACACAGGCAAATCAAAACAAATGCTGCTGTGGTTGTGATTCAGTTCTTTTGTTTCCCTGGCTAGGTGAGGTTAGTGGTTAGTCTCGAGACCGCCACCAGCTGAACAAACGAAGGTAGTATGCTAGACCAGCATTTTCAACCTTTTTGTACCTACAGACCAGCGCCTGTCCTGCATGTGGGTCCTCCGATCACAGTTAAAACCAAGGCAGTGGACCAGTGGCTTTCAGCCTTTCTGCATCTGCAGACTGGCACTAATCTTTGGAGCGGTGGTTGAAGACCACTGGACTAACGACGCATCCTCCATGAGAATCTCTTTCTTCTCCACGTACAAATCTTTTGTTTCCAAATTCATCTATTGCTTTGGTGTGGAGCAAGTGGTAACGAGATGGGACTTACAGCATGGTTGAACCCTGGTTGTCCTGGTGATGCCTTCCCAGTTGGGTGATCTTGCCAAGTCCTCTTGGCTTTCTGAATCTCATACTCCACACCTGCAAAGTTCGACTATAAGTCTATCCATGCCTTGTGAGAGGAACTGGTTGATTCAATGATTGTCAAGCACTTAGAATCTTTGTATCATGTGCTCGATTAAAAACTTTTAAACGTGATAGTCATCATGTCACTCAGAAAAGAAAAGAAAAGAAAAGAAAAGAAAAGAAAAGAAAAGAAAAGAAAAGGAAAGAAAAGGAAAGGAAAGGAAAGGGGAAAAGTGATAGTGGGATTACAAATTAGTTTTTACCAAACAATTGAATTCATTGAATGCTGGTGTTATTTTTGATGCTTCATGGAAAGAAACACTGGACTTTCTCAGTGAGTGAGAAGAGATTGCCCGTTGCACTCATTTTCTTTTTTTCTTTCTTTTTGCAATGCCAGAGATCCAAAACAGCGCCCCACATATCAGAGGCATGCACTTTATCACAGAGCCACACCCATATCACATTTTTTATGTGTTGGAATAGTGGTCACATTGGGACAACTATACCTTGTCTTAATCTTATTATTTTTGCTTATTATAGCTTATTTTTTAAATGTTAAAATTTATTTTAATGTACAAAAAAGCTACAACTATTAATACAATTCTAGAGTTGAAATTGTTTAGATAAAAGCAAGATCCAATATTAAAATCAATAGGTATAAAAAAACAAATTTGGGAGGACTCTTTGGGTCACAACCAGTGGTGTTCAGAAGTTACGCCTGGCTCTTTACTCAGGAGGCAGTGCTTGGGGGGTACCATATGGGATGTCTGGGATTGAACTTGTGTCATCTTCATGTAAGGAGAACATCCAATCTGCTGTACTATTGCTCTAGCCTTAACTCAATTTAAAAAAAAATATTTTTGCCCTTTGGGTCACACCCAGCAAGGCTCAGGGGTTACTCACTGGCTCTGCACTCAGAAATTATCCTGGCGGTGCCCGGGAGACCACATGGGATGCTGGGAATCGAACCTGGGTTGGTCGCGTGCAAGGCAAATGCCCTACCCGCTGTGCTATTGCTCCAGCCCCTAACTCAATTTTTTAAATGTAAAAATTGTTATACTTCAGTGCTGGGTTGTTAAGTTCTTGTCAAAGAATTTACTGAGCTCCTGTTGCTAGTTGAGCCTTTTGTGTTAATGTTTTGTTTGTTGAGTTTAGTTGACTTCTATGTTACTGTTACTTTTAACTTCTGTGGATATTTTATGGTTTCTGTGTCTTCTTTTTTATGTGATTTAACAAAAGGTTTCTATCCTGGTGGAATGTGTAAGGCTAGAGGATTTGTTCCCACAGGACAATGACCTTAGAGCTCCCTTTGCCCAGAAGTCCAAAAATAGTAGATGAGCTCATCTTAGATTGATAGATAACCATGTTAAAGGTGTCAGAGAAACTTGCCCACCAGTTCTCAGAGCTTTTGTGGTTGAACAAAATACATCACCAAGTAGTTTTTGATTTTTATTTTCTGTTTTCATTATGTATGGATTGAGCACTCAGACATTCAGTTGACATTGTTAAGGGTATGTCTTCACCAAGAAGCTCGCTGATATTCGTGCAAATGTGTAGTAGCAGATCTTAGACACATGAAGCAAGACCTCACATGAAGTGAATTAGAGGAGAGAAAAGAGACTGACACAGAATGATCTGTGTCAATTGTGGGATATAAAGAAACATAATAGGGGAATAACGAATACCAAAGAGAATGGAAACAAAGAACATGAGAACGGCATACAGTAGGAAACAGGCCTCCTGAGGGGCGTGGGGACAGGACAGGGAAGGGGCAATGACTGTGGAAGAGAGAAGTGTTCAACTGGGAGGAAGACGTGGTGCTGAAAGGCGTAAAGTGTTAGGTATGAAGCCCTATCAGCAATAGTGCTGTAAATAAACCACAATGCAAATACTTATATTAAGAAGGAAAAAGGCGCCTCTCCTAGAAATTGATTAGTGGGTGGGAGGCAGCTGGGGTTCCAGAGGGGCATTGATGGAGGGCAGTGGATACTGGTGAAGGAATCAGTGTGGAAACATTATAGGCCTGAAACCTAATCAGGAATAACTGTGTAACTTCATGGTGCTTCAGTACAGATAAATAAATGTAGCACTGTAGCACTGTCCTCCCGTTGTTCATCGATTTGCTTGAGCGGGCCCAGTAACATCTCCATCGTGAGACTTGTTGTTACTGTGTTTGGCATATCGAATACATCACAGGTAGCTTGCCAGGCTTTGCTATGCGGGCGAGATACTCTCGGTAGCTTGCTGGGCTCTCCTAGAAGGGTGGAGGAATCGAACCCAGGTTGGCTGTGCTGGCCGCGTGCAAGGCAAACACCCTACCACCATGCATCAAATAAATAAATGAAGTGTTTTGAAAAGATTAGTCCATGAACACGAGCAACCCTAAGATGTGTGTGGTTCCAGGATGCTGACTCCTCTTTCTTTGTTTGGTCCCCAGGACCCCTTGGACCCTACAAAGTCAGTGATCGTGATCCGCTCCCTGGTGGCAGATGGTGTCGCAGAAAGAAGTGGGGCATTGTTACCCGGGGACCGCCTGGTGTCAGTCAATGACCACTATTTGGACAACACCCCACTTGCAGAAGCCGTGGAAGTGTTGAAGGCTGTGCCACTGGGCACCGTGCACCTTGGCATCTGTAAACCTTTAGTGGTAAGTTGAAGTTTGGAGCCACGGTATAGGAAGCCAGAACAGGGCCATTGTCAAGACTGTGGGTTTTGGAGGTACAGACAGACACCTCGTCTCATTGCCCTGTTCTATTGCTATTCCGTATGTGTGTCCTTAGACATGTTTCTTAAGACCCTTCCTTTGCAGAATCAGAAAAAAAAAAGTGTCAACCTCATAGTTGTTTGGAGAATAAAGATGATTTATATTTATTAGATGCTTTTGTTTTTATATAAGTTTATAAGGTACAGCTCCATTCTTAAAGGATTATCGTGAAGATTAAGATGAGACAAAGCATATCAAATAATGACTATAGATTGATGTCTCAGTAGGACTTGATCAGTAGTAGCTGCTATGACATGAGACGGGACTTGAGCTTATAAGGCCCAGGCGAGGTAGATGTAGCTTTTCTGATGAAGAGCAACTGCCCTGCACCATGATGGAACATTTTAAATATGACCCAGATGATATTTATATATTTCCTAATGATGAAATTCAGAACCTGCTACCCCCAAAATACACTTTCTTGTCATATTGATTACTTTGGATTCATTTCTGAAGAAGCAGCAGGTGCAAAAGAACACAGTGACACTGATTTGTCTTTAGAAGCTGTAGATGAGGCCCATGTGAAAGAGCCTGTCCATGACAGAAGGTGGAAAGTGCCTGATGCCAGGGATAGGGGATATAGAGTCGAAGAACTGCATGAACAAACTTCGTCACTTTCCCCCCCTAATCTACAACCCCAGTCTTTCTTCTTCTTAATTCCTCTTTGTTTAAAAAAAAGTGATAAAAAATTAAATAGGGGTCAGAGAGATAATAGAGCAGGTAGGGCATTTGCCTTGCGTGTGACCATCCCAGATTGGATTCTTAGTACCCCTGAGCCCATCAGGAGTGACCCGTAAGTACAGAGCTAGGAGTAAGCCCTGGGCACCCCCAGGTGTGACCCCCAAACAAGCAACCACAACAAAGCTTCAAACTTCCACTTTCAAGATAAATAAGTACTAGAGATATATTATAAGTAAAGTAAAGTAAAGGCCCTCCCGTTGATCATCGATTTGCTCGAGCGGGCCCAGTAACGTCTCCATTGGAGACTTTGTTGTTACTGTGTTTGGCATATCGTATACGTCACAGGGAGCTTGCCAGACTCTGCCGTGTGGGCGAGATACTCTCGGTAGCTTGCCGGGCTCTCCGAGAGGGGCGGAGGAATTGAACTTGGGTCGGCCATGTTGGCTGCGTGCAAGGCAAACGCCCTACTGCTGTGCTGTCGCTCTAGCCCCAGAGATATATTATATAGTGACTAAAAATAAACACTGACTACAAATATAAAAACTGCTTTGTGTATTTGAAAGTTGTGGTAATAACTTATTGTAGGAATATACATAAGCTGCAGTAATCATTTTGTCACATATAAATATATCAAATCATTATGTTGTAGATCTAAAATGAGTATGTTATAGTTCCACTGTATTTCAATTTTTTAAAGTTTCAGTTTTGACAGCAATATTTTTTCCACTGTGCTTAAATAAAAATAATTCTGTTTTCAGGAAGATGATAAAGAGGAAGAATGTCATTATATTTTGCCTTCAAACAATAATGAAGACAAAACTGAAGTTTCAGGAACAACTCAGGATATAAGTTCATCTTTAATACTTGAAGCACCCAAGGTATTTAGTAAATTGCTCTTTGAATGCTTTTCTGTGACCTGCAGTTTATATAAAGTAGACAATAAAGTTTGTTGCCTCTCTCAGCTAAATATGAATTCTCTGATCCTCCTCCCATTATTTATTTATAAGTGAGATCTTTTCTGTCTTATATCCCATTGCATCCATAAATGGCATGGCCAGATGGATGGCATTTTCAAGGAATAAGGGTGACTTTATTTTTATATCACTAATATATTTTTAAAGATTAAAGTGTTGGACCATAGTAGTACTATGATGGGTAAGGCATTTGCCTTGCATGTTACCAGTGCGGGTTTAATCTTGGGCACCACATATGGGCCTCTGAGCACCACCAGGAGTGATCCGTGAGCAGAGAGCCAGGAGTAATCCCTGACCCCAAACCAAATGAAACAAAACTCAAACAAAGATAATTAGATGGATCTGCTGACTAATAAAATGTAGAAGTTTAAAGCATGTTTTATTAATTTCTTCCTGCTGTACATTTTTACTGTAGATGAAAAGAATGTATTTCTTTGTGATGGAAACTCAACATAGTTTCTTTTTGTGGGTGGCACTCCCAGTGGTGCTCAGGGACCAATCCCAGTGGTGCTCAAGGGATCTGAGCCCCAGGAAAAGCATACTCCAACCCTCTGAGCCGTCTCCACAGCCCCCGAAGATCATACTGAAAAGTATTTAGTTGAGAGATATTCCCATACCTTAGTTTATAGGAAATGATTTTTTTTAAACAGCAGGTAGCCATTATTTCTTTGGAGTTACTTAAGGTGGGATTTCCCTAAGTAATCATTTGAAGTGGGTCTATATTTACTGATCACTTTTTTTTTTTAAGTGATCGATCACTTCTTATTTAAGATGCATAAGTTAAATTTATTCAGTTCAGCAACATAACAAAATTCTCTTTCTTTCTGATTGAGAATGCCCCAGTGGTTAATATATATTGACTCTTTTGGAATAGTTTGGAATAGCCTTGAGCAGGTTCCTGCTTCTTTGTGTTTTCCCTTTGCTGGGGGGAGGGTCACCTGAAAAAGCGCTTTCTCCTCCTTGCCAGAGGAGACCTGTGTGTGGTAAACTGTGTAGTGATGCTGGGTGACTTCTTGTACAGCGTGTACTTTCAGACAGGTATCCTTAAAGCCATTTCTGCCACTTCCACTTACAGGAATTTAGAGATGAGCCCCATTTTGAAGAAGAGCTTGTGGATGAGCCCTGTCTTCGTTTGGGGAAATCTTTCCAGTCTCGGCAAAATGAGATAGACCACAGCCCAGAGGCCTGGGAGATGGATGAATTCTTGACTCCCCACCTGCAGGAACTGGGGGAAGAAAGGGAAATGCTCGTCGATGAAGAATACGAGCTCTATCAGGATTGTTTGCAGTCCATGGAGATGTATCCCTCGCCACACATGCCCGGGACCGCTCCTCTCCCCACCGGGAGGGAACCCCACTATGGCACCCAGTGGGTACAGGAGAGCGAATCCCCCGAGCTGCAGGAAGCAAGACCCTCGATGAGCCTCTATCCCCAGGAAGTGCGGCAGTATGGCTACAGCCCTGAGCACATGGTAAGGGGGGGGCAGCGGTCTGCCCTTTCCTTCCCTTCCATCTCTAGCCTTGCGCCCAGGTCCAGCAACTTGCAAGAAGTAACTGATGCCTCGGAAAGGCTCTTTTCCTCATGAATCACTTTCCCCCTGCACCACCCATCTCTGCTGCCAGACTGTGAACCCACCTCTCCACCTCGTTACAAGCTTCTCCTTAGAATCAAGAGGTTGCGGTGGTTTTGCTCTTACAGTGGTTTCTGCCTTCCTTTTAGAGTGCTATTTTTTTTTCTATAATTATCCACTTCAAGGAAGAGTTCCTTTGCCAGTTGTGATTTTTTTTTTGTAATTCCCCCAGGGAGTCGTTACTCTGTATTTCTCACATAGTGCATTTGTCAGGAGGAATCAAGACAGAATTAGTTAAAGATATATTGTTTATATCTTGCTCATCCACATTTTCCCTCTGTGTTTCCATGTGATGCTAAATAGTAAGTCACTGAACTCTAGGAAATTAGCCTTGACATATGCAATACTGCTTCTTTACAGCTGGGCAGGAAAACATTCGATTTTAATAGGCTTGCCCTGACTATTTAATGACCAATAAATGGTGTGTGTGTGTGTGTGTGTGTGTGTGTGTGTGTGTGTGTGTAAAATTAGAGTGATGTGCACACATGTATACACACAGACACAGAGAGAGAGAGAGAGAGAGAGAGAGAGAGAGAGAGAGAAAGTTAACCATTTACCAGCTGTAATCTTTCACAAGGGTCACTTTTTAATGCTTTATTTTTGTTTACCTATTTGCTGCCCCAAATTAACTGGCAAGCAAATGACATGTGATTGACTTTCTAGAAACATTTTTATTTATTTTGCTTATTGGGTCACACCTGGCGAAGTTCAGGGGTTACTCCTGGCCCTATGGGATGCTGGGAATCGAACCCTGTTGGCCCCGTGCAAGGCAAACACCAGACCTGCTGTGCTCTCACTACAGCCCCTAGAAACATTTTTCAAAAGGCCTTGTGAGTGGCTCGGGTGCAGGCAGGGCTCCCTCCCGCCCCCCCTGAGGCCAGCAGCATCCTGGCAGTGGAGTGAACCCCAGTCCTCATTTGCTCCTGGCCTGCCTTTCCTCCTCCCGGCTCTGCCATTGCAGAGCAAAGCACCGTCTCCTTGGGGCTGGATAGCCTCCTGGAGGGCTCCGGGCAGATGTGGTGGGATGGTGCGGGGCCTGCGAGGATAGCCTGGAAGAGCGTGAAGGCGACCAGAGCCCAGGATGCTGCCCTTGACATTGGTGCTTCCTGTCTTTGTTCAGTCTCTGCCCACCACAACCCCCTTGCTGCTGTTTTATCTTTAACTGCTTGTTGTGGCTGCTGGCTTCCGTAAAAGAATCTTTCATTTCAGGGGATGCACACCTGCCAGTGCAGAGGGCTTATTCCTGGGTCTGTGCTCAGAATTTACTCCTGTTGATCTTGGGGACCATATGTGGAGCCTGGGATCAGACCCAGGTCAGCTTTGTGTAAGGCAAGCTCCCTACATGCTGTACTGTCTCTATGACCGATCCCCCCTTAAAACCTTTTCTATTTACCTAAATATATAAAACACCAGAAACATATTATATTAGCATATATACTTTTAAGGCTATGGACAAGTTACATACATGTTCACTATTTATTTTATAAATTAGACATTCATATTTAAAACCCTACAAATTGCTCATTTGGGACCTATTGACATTTAATGATAGGATTTTACTCAAATTCTTTCAATGCTTATTGATAGGTGTGCTGTGACCAACATCACTTTCTGCTCACTTCACCCAGCCTTGGAAACAAGCTGTCTTCCTTTCCTTCTAACTCCAGAATGAGTCATTTTTTAATCTATACTGTCAGTCAAAAATGTATCCTGTCTACAAACGCTCATTTGCATAACACGAGGCTTTTACAGACATTTCTCTCCGTAAGTTTATTTGATAATCTTCACAATGTAGCCACTTACTCCATTGTTTGCTAAAGTACTCTTAAAAGAGCTTGTTTATAGCAACATTCAATGCCTGCCATTTGAAGGACATGCACCCTGATTACCAAATCTGTGTGAAATTTCCCAGCCTTCCCCAGAGTGGCCTCTATAGGCGCTCTCAAGAGAACGTTGATTAAAATTGTTCCAGCTCTAATGTGTCTTGCCTAAACAGTACTTTATTTCCTTTAAATAATTATATGTTCTCCCTTTGTACGTTAGCTCTTTTTTTCCCATACCCCGGCAGTGATCACAGTACAAGATAAGGGGAGAAAAAAAATCTTTTCTTGCTTAGATTTTCTGGCTGGGGCCCTGGAAGTTAAGTGACAAATTGAAAGATAGCAAATTAAAGCCGAAGAAACAGGAGAAAACCAGTTTCTGAACCCGTGGCCAGCATAGAGCAGAGTCGCAGTAATGAGTAATTTCAGGAGTGCGTCAGAATCTGGACTTGTGTAGGGTCGCTGAACAGGAGGAAAGGTTTGTGCTTTCCAGGGGAAGGTTTTGGGCAAATGGAGGGAAGGTCAAGTCTACAGGGCAGTGGAGAGAAGATGAGGTGTTTCAGTCAGATTTCTCACAGAGATTTTTCTCTCCTTGCTATTTCTGAGTTGACAAGTACAGCTGCCGGTTCAAGAATCTGGTGATTCATCAGGAGAGAGAAATTTTCTGTGCCTGCTGTTTCTCAGTTGTCTTTAACCCAAAATATTCCTTATGACAAAGTCATACTTGGGAGTGGAAAAATTTGACCCCCAGTTGTACGCACGCGGGTGCCACACACACACACACACACACACACACACACACACACACACGCACACACACACACACACTGGGCTTATTTACAAAGTTTACCAAGTTGTTCATAATACAGTTGTTTCGGGCATTCAGTGTTCCAACACCAATCCCACCACCAGTGTGAACTTTCCACCAATGTCCCTAGTTTCCCATTCCACCCCCGAAACTTGCCCTCTTAGCAAGCACAAAATAATTTTATATCGCTTGTTACAACAAAACGGCAAATGGAATTATAAAACAGTTCAGTCAAAGAAAATCTGTGGAAATTTTTACCCTGTAGTGATAATATTGAAACCGTCTGAGGATTGACTGAGCTATTTGGTGCCAGTTGAGACTTCTGTATTACTGTTTTCGCTCACTGAGTTTAGTGGACTTCTGTGCAACTTTCCCATCTAATTCGCTGTGCTTCTCCTACTGGGCTGTCAGTACTGTGGCATTTGAACGTGTCCAAGAGCTGTGAACAATTCAGTGTCTTGGTGTGTCTTTGAGCTGGAGTGATAGCACAGTGGATAGGGCATTTGCCTTGCACGTGGCTGACCTGGGTTCGATTCCTCTTCCCCTCTTGGAGAGCCTGGCAAGCTACCGAGAGTATCTCGCCCGCACAACAGAGCCTGTCAAGCTCCCCGTGGCGTATTTGATATGCCAAAAACAGTAACAGCAAGTCTCACAATGGAGACGTTACTGGTGTCCACTTGAGCAAAATGATGAACAACGGGAGGACAGTGCTACAGTGCTACAAATGGTGTCTCTTTGAGATTTAGTTGTGGAGCTGTGGAGCTGGGCCATTTATATGCAGGAGGATGTGCCATATGAGTGGAACTCCTGGTTTTGGGGCAGGGCGAAGACTTGGCCCAACCCCATCTCGAGAAGGTTCCAGAGTTCTCAGCCTGGAGATGGATCTACCTGGGAGTTTCAGCACCTCTTGGAGATTAGTCCCGTCCACCTCTTATTTCTGATGGGTCAGCAGGCAGTCAGATGGGAGTGGCTGGGGTGGCAGAGATGGGGGTAGAATGGCAATGAGTTGTCTGGGAGAGATAAAACGAAGATGGAATTTATAAAAGTTACACTGTCACTAACTCTAAAGTAGCCGAGAGAGCAAGAAGGCCAGACTCCCTCTGTGGACCCTGGAACTGAGGCTGTTAAGACTCTTAACTGGTTCCATCCAGTACTGGGCCAGAGAAGACAGAAATCCCTCCCGAAAAACTAAAGGCTGTGGGGCTGGAGCAATAGCACAGTGTGTAGGGCACTTGCCTTGCATGCAGCTGAGCTAGATTCGATTCCCAGCATCCCATATGGTCCCCTGAGCACGGCCAGGAGTAATTCCTGAGTGCCTGAACCAGGAGTAACTCCTGTGTGTGTGACCCAAAGAGCAAAAAAATAAACCTAAAGGCTGTGATCAGGACCTGGAGGTCGGCCGCTGAAAGTTTCAGTTCTTCCCCTTGACAACACCCTAGCAATGGACTCTCAACTGTATAGAAAGTCCCATATGGGAGAAAACTCTAAAACTGTAAAACCAACTTTGCAATGGGCAGCAGCAAATGTCCTTCTTCTGGGGGTCACCCACATCTTAACTTGGGATGGGTAATTATTTTCATTTGTGGGGCACCCTCAGCTCTCTCCCCTCCAGAAAATCCCACCTTTTTTTCTCTTCAAGCCATTAATCTCACTTTTCTCCTAATCTCTAAATAAAACCGTTTTACTTCATCATTTGTCTCTTCCTGAAATTCCTTTCTGGGAGGGGAAAGCAACAGGCCTGTCATGAATTGTGGAAAAGCTTAGGGCTGATTTTCCTCTTCCTGCACAGAACAGTTCCTCACTCCAGCCTGAATCCCAAGGGTCCCTGAGAAAGCAAGAGACAGGGATTAATTCTCATGCTGTGTAGGTCACGTGGGACTCAAAGTGATATGACAGTTGCCAAGAGAAACTGGTGTGATGCAACATCCGTGATGCACAGGTTCTCTTGGTAGACTTTCTCAGTCCTGTCCCCCTTTCCCACAATTCCCTGGGAAACTGAGGTGACACCCCTCTTGAGGCCAATACTCTCTTACCCCCACTTCCTATCAGTTAGCTGTAGTAACCCCCTGTAGTAGTGACATGCTTCTTGTACAATGTTACAAGCCCTCAGTAATATATTTTAAAACCACACTCAAATACCTTGCAAGCATGTAATGCCCAGTGCTCTTCTATTTAGTGAGTGTTGTTCCGAAGTGTAGAGGAACTTTTTCACCCCGTCTTTGCTGTAATACTTATTTGGAGCTGTCGGTATAGTAACATTTGTGAAGTGCAAATAGTATTCAACTGCTAAAGAGTTTTTTTTTTTTTCCTCAGCCATTCTCTTACTCCATTTTAGTTGAAGGGCAAAACCATCAGGGTTTATAGACCTGGTTTTTAAAATTGTGGTAAAGTATAAAATACATTTAAAAATACCATTTGGATCATTTTACACATAGAGTCCCAGAGGCACCATGATTTGCAATGCTGTTCATGATAGGGTTTCATATATATACATCCCAACATTTCACCAGGGTTTCCTCTACCATTGGCTGTTGAGATTTTGGGAAAAAAGATTACATTTATTCATCTTTATGTACTCTTTGGATGAATATCTATACAAATCCTTGGTCCATTTAATTTTTTTTTTAATGTTTGGACTATATCTGGCAGTGCTCAAGGTCTTTGCTCAAGATCTTCTCTCTCAGTGCTCTGGGACAGGACGAATCACAGCAGTACCCAGGGGACCATGTGGTGGCAAATCCTAGGCCTTTATTTTGGTTTTGGGCCACATGTGACAGTGCTCAGCCATCACTCCTGGCATTGCTTTGGGGACCATATATTGGTGCTAAAGATTGAACTGGAGTAAGCCACATGCAAGGCAAATGCCTTAACCTTGTACTAACTTTCCAGCATAAGCCTAGGCACTTCCTAAAAGATCTGATTATTTTTAGTTAAAATTATTTACATGGAAGCAATCCTGCATTCTTAATTTTCTTTTTTTTTTTTAATATTCATACACCTTTTTTAAAATTTTTTTTTATTTATTTTTTTTAGGCTTTTTTTTTCCCCTTTATTTTATTTTATTTTTTTTTACAGTTGTAGATTTACAATTTTTTGTGCTTTGGTTTCAATTATACAATGATCAGATACCCATCCCTCCACCAGTGCCCATTTTCCACCACCATGGATAATATCCCTCCCACCCCCATCCCCCCATCCCCCCTGTCTCTGTGGCAGGGCAATCCCCTGTGTTCTCTCTCTCCTTTTGGGTGTTGTGGTCTGCAAAAGAGGCGTTGAGTGGCAAACATGTTCAGTCCATAGTCTACTTTCGACATGCATCTCCCCTCCTGGGAGGATCCTCCAAACATCCTTTATTTGGTGCTCCCTTCTCTATCTGAACTGCCCTTTCCTCTAGGATACCCGGCTGGCCTCTAAGTTATGGAGTAATCCTCCTGGTGCTGATCTCAGCTATTCTTGGGTATTAATCTCATACTTTGTTACTTTATATCCCCCAGATGAATGCAATCTTTCTATGTCTATCCCTCTCTTTCTGACTCATTTCGCTTAGCATGATACTTTCCATATTGTACCACTTGTATGTAAATTTCATGACTTCATCTTTTCTAAGAGCTACATAGTACTCCATTGTGTAGAGGTACCAAAGTTTCTTTAACCAGTCATCTGTTCTTGGGCATTCAGGTTTCTTCCAGTTTCTGGCTATTGTAAAGCATTCTTAATTTTCTTCTCTAGAAAAAGATAATTGAATTTAGGTGCTGGAGTGATAGTACTGCAGGTGAGACACTTGTTTTGAATATTCTGACCCTGGTTCTATCACCAGCACCCCATAAGCCTGAGCCCTTCCAGGAGTAAGCCCTGAGCACCGCTGGGGGTGTCCTTCCACCTCCATGCAAATTGTATTAATTTTTCCAAAGTTAAAGCCTCACTATCTGCTAAATCAAGATCTCAGGTTCAGATACCAATTTTCTTATTTCTCAGCTACTAGTCATTAATTAACTTTTTTAAATGCCCAAATGATCCAAATATTACTATAAACGATTTTCTCTCTCATAGTCTTTTATACTATTTGCTACAAAGATCTTCCTGTTATAGTCTAGGCAATTGAGTAGTCCTATATCCATTTAAAACACTAACATTTGGAGCTGAATTCTATTCTCTATAGGTTCCATTAAGTATCTGATAAAGTTGTATATTTAGTTATAATCATAATCTGGAAAAAAAGCTAGCTAGCTAGTACAGAGGGTAGGGCACTTTCCATTCATTGTAGCTAACCTAGGTTCAATTGCCCACGGCCCATATGTTCCCCCAAGTCCCACCAGGAGTGATCCCTGAGCTGAGTCAGGAGTAATCCCCAAGCACCACGGTTGTGGTCCCAACCCCCACCCAACCCCCCAGAAAACAAACAAAACATATATTCTGCCAATATTAACATAAAAGACTTTAGTGAAAATAGTGTTTTTACTTTGGAGAACCCGGCAGGCTACCGAAAGTATCCTTGCCCGCACGGCACAGTCTGGCAGGCATCCCGTGTCGTACTCAATATGCCAAATACCAGTAACAATGATAGGTCTCATTCTCCTAGCCCTGAAAGAGCATTGAATATGGCTCTTTTAAAATCTCAGGGCTAGGAAGAAGGAGACGTTGTTGGTGCCAGCTTGAGGCAATTGACGAACAACAGGATGATCGTGATTGTGATCGTGTGTTCCTGGAGTGGCAATTTGGAAAATCATAGACGGCATGTCTAAAAAAGGGGAGGAAAGTTCATTGAGTTACCAATAGTGCTATGTGAAAGCTTTAGGATTAAGAACTGAGTGCTCCCTGCAGTAGCAACACTGGGGAGGCAGAGCTGAGAAATTCACCCAGTGTTGGGGACCAACACAATTGTGCCCCAAACACGATTCAAAAGGCAGTGTGTATTGGCCACTGGTTCTGCTTAACTTGATAGATCTCTGCTTCTTCTACCACAATGAGTGTTTATTCAAATCCACTTATTTATAAAATATATTTTTTAATGAAAAAGTCGAGTGTTGGGGGGGTGGGGGAACAGGTTTGACTGGCCTCTTGTTTTGCAAATATTAAGTTTCTAGCACTGGTTACAGCTTTCCATGGGCTAAATGGTCGCTGGAGAAATCTGTCTGGTCAATCCTTTTTCCACTTTTGCTGCTTTGAGCAACATTAGAGCATTGCACATTTATCATAAGCTCCTAATGCATTTCTGGTTTTTGTCCTCTCAAGATGAAAGAAGATTTTGGCATCGATGCCCTCCCCTCCATACCTTCCACGGAAGGAAACAATCAACAAGGCAGATTTGATGATCTGGAAAATCTTCATTCATTAACTGAAAGCAGCCTGGATTTAGGTTTGTGCGTTTTACTTCTCCTAAACACAAATTACTTGATGTTGCAGTCTTTCCTTTTTGTTTTTTTGTATGTCATGAATTTCACTGTCACAATTTTATTCACTAGGGCGTTGTGAATGTGCATTGGCTTATTAATCACAGTGCTCCAGAATATCTGGAAGAATAAATGTAGCTCTTATTTCAACTGTGAACTTTCAGATTCAGCTCTCTGGAAGTGTTGCATTTTCTTTTTCTTTCCCCTCATACTTTTTATTAGCAGTCTGGATTAAAAGGAGTACCTTACACAGTATCTGAAATGTCTCTACTAATATATATTAAAATCTCTTATGCTATTAAGTGATACTGTTAGCTCATTGAATGGGGTTATTAAATATTAATAAAGAGAGGCATATTTTAAACATTTATGAAACATTTTTATAGCCATATATTACGGTCAATTTTGTAACATTAATAACTTAGTTTCCATTAAAGAATTCCGAAAGTATAGTGTCTCTCCGTGCTCCCCCAATATTGATTCTTATATATTTTTGAAGAGTTTAAAAAATAATTTTTCTTCCTCCAAAACCAAAATATCAAATATCTTTATAACAGCAAGATCCTTGGTAAGACTGACTGTTCAATTCTTCATGGTACAGGAAGTTGTTGTCATTGTTCAGGATTTACGGTGTCCTATTTTTGGGTAAAGATCCTTCTGTCTGGGCAGTTCTCATAATGTGTTGTAAGAAAGAGAGCTATAGAAACTGATAAATTCAGGATTCTGCTAAGTGCAATCGTTGATAAAGATTGAAGGCATCTCTAAACTGATAACAATTTCTGTGGAATAAAACTATTGTTTTGTTAATTTTTCATATCTAAGGCCAGAGAGCCCAATTCTTGATGAATAACTGTGACTAAGGAAAAAAAAATCTTTTCTCTAAAACTCTCCCAGTGTACTTGTTGTTGCTGTTGTTTTATTTCATTGCATTTCTTTGGCAGACTCTTCTGACTATTAAATCAGCATTTCCCAGCCTTTCATCCCACCCGGGTCTACCTCTGACCTAGCTTCCTTCCCGTGACCCCCTCTCTCCTACCCAGTGGCCATTTCCATGATTTTCACTTGGAATATCCTGGGGGTGGGGAGGGGTTGTCATATGGCTTCCAGTTAAGAAATACTCTACTAAATATTTGGAGACTTCCTTCCCAAATGAATGAGTAAAGAAATTAGTGAACCCTCTCTGTTGAATTCCTGTTGCTACTTCATAGTCACCTCAGCTCTGTTTGGGACCAGCTGCTCCTTCACAAGAGAGAACTCACCGGGGTGTTGTGGGGTGTTGAGCAGCTTTCCTGCCTTCTAGCTCTACATCCCTTTGTTCCTCTTACCCCTTTCATGAGGACAATCTTCAGACATTACCAAAATGTCCCTTCCTAGTGTCCCTGCCCTGGTATCATCTAAGTGACTCCAAAGTTACTTCCATTGCCTTGACTTCTGCTATGAGCTTCTGAGATCTGCTGTAACAAGTTACCCCTTGACTAATGGCTTGACCCACAGAAGTAAGTCCAGTCTGGTGCTGTTCTGGAGGACAGGGTCCCCACTCAAGGTGCTCCCCCAAAGTCTATAGGGAAGAGTCTGCTCTTTGCCCCTCCTGGACCCCATGGCTCCTGCATTCCTTCCTCTGACCTCAGCCTCTGTTTTCACATGACCTTCTCTTCCCACTGCTTGGTTTTAATTTTCTCTAAAGACGCACCTGTCAATGGATTTAGGGCCACTTGCATAATCCAGGGCCGTCTCAAGATACTTTGTTTAATTGCACCTGAAAAAAATTTTATTTTCCAAATAAGGTTCCATTCATAGGTTCAAAGGAATAGACACGTGGTTAGGAAACCACTATTGAACCCACAACACTGAAATGGAACATTTTGCCAAGCCCTGGGCATTTATTTTTTAAGTTTATAGCTCTGAGAATGAAGCCTGAGCTTATTTATATATCTCAGCTCTGCCTTCACTAGAAAAGTATTCATAACCTTGTGTTTTTAGGGAAAACGTTGAGAGCCTCCAGGATACTCTACAGAGGGTATGGGTTGCGTGTTAGCACTAATCTAGGGTGGACTAAGAAATGATTGATAGTCAACTCCAACTCCAGCTGAATTTATTCTCCTCAGAATCCCACTTGGCATTTTTGAGATCTCTGTCCAGCGAAGGGGAGACTGGGTCAGTTCCAGGCACCTCTCCTAATCTGTTATGTAATCTGGCAAATCTCCATGTTTCTTTAAATGTTTCAATTTTCTCACCTGTAAAATTAGGGATTTGGGTTTTCTTAGTCCTCTTTTAAATCAATAACTCTTTGACCACTCTAATAATAATAGTACACAATTTAATAATTATAATTAATAATCCACAATTTTAAATGATCAATGAACAATTAATTTAGAAAATGTTGGCTGGCTGAGTGCATTCTTTGCATGCAGGAAGCCTGGGTTCAGTCCCCAGCATAGCAGATGGTCCCCTGTGGACCAGCCATGGGACACTCCCAAGCACGGAGCCAGGAGTAGCCCCTGAATACCTCTGGGTCTGGCCTCCCCATGAAAAAGAGCCGAAGGTATAGTTTATTATTTGCATGCAGAGAGCCCAGGTTCAGTCTCTGGCATGACTTGATCCTCCGCGCATAGCCAGGAGAAAACTGCCAAGCACCGAGCAGGGAGTAATCCCTGAGCACTGCCAAGTGTGACTCAAAAAACAAAAGTTTGAAAAAAATTTACTTTGGGGCTTGGAGAGATCCTACAGAGTTAGGGGACTTGCTCTGCATGGAACCAACTCCAGTTCTGTCCCTGCACTGCATAAGGTCCCCCAGGCACTGCCAGGAGTGCATGAGCCAATAGTAAGCCCTGAGCACTACCAGGGATAGTCCCCAAGTTGTATACATACACACATACACACATGTACAAATATATGTGTATATATATAACATAATCCAAAATCATGTCTCCTCAAAGAATTTATACTCTTTCATTTCATAAAACCTATAAATTAGCATGGTAAAGGTAAAGGTAAAGGCTCTCCAGTTGATCGTCAATTTGCTCGAGCGGGCCCAGTAACATCTCCATTGGAGACTTTGTTGTTACTGTGTTTGGCGTATCGAATACTCTCGGTAGCTTGCCGGGCTCTGCCGTGCAGGCGAGATACTCTTGGTAGCTTGCCGGGCTCTCCGAGAGGGGCGGAGGAATCGAACTCGGGTCGGCCATGTTGGCCGCTTGTAAGGCGAACGCCCTACCGCTGTGCTATCGCTCCAGCCCAAATTAGCATGACAAAGAGTGAAAAGCATCAAGCTAAATTCCAATCAGCAGTGGACTTGGTGTTAACTGAGTCCAGATTATTTTAAACAGAAAGTAGTTGTGTTTGCCCCTGCCTGGATGTGTCACCAAGGAGCCATGGAAGGATTTCTCTCCAGGCTGCTAAGGGCCAGGATGCGTCCTCTCTAGCCTGCCTGCATCCTACTCTCAGCAAAGTTCCAGGAGGGCAAGACTGGGATAAAACTTTGATTATTTATTTGGGGGCCATACTGGCAGAGCTCAAGACTTCCCCCTGACTTTGTGCTCAGGGGACAATATGCGGTGCCTGGGCTCTAACCTAGTTTGGCCATATGCAAGGCATATGACCTACCAAGAAACTTCTGTTTTCACAATGTCATGTTTTCAGTGGGTCCATGTCAAAAGATCCATTTTCTACTGAGCAGTCCCCATTCTCTGCCTGCCCTCCTGCCATGCATCTACAGTACCTGTTTCCATCTGGCACAAGAAATAGTCTGCTCATTTTGTTTAACGTTCACTGGTCTTGTGCCTGGGTAAGGCCTGTCCAGAGCGGAGGCTTGTGAGTACTTGCTGAGTAACTGAAGAGGGAATAAAGCCATCTTATGTTTTCTGTGATTGGTTTGAACTCCAGACATGGTGATTGCGGATGATGGCCAAGATCCTGGTGTGCTTGCTGACCTTCCTGCTGTGGCTCGAAGAAGGGAGGAAGAAGACCTGCCTATATACCAACTCCCCAGAACACACAATGTGCCCAGGGCCTCGGCATACACAGGAATGTTGAGTTCCAGATATGCCTCTGATACATGGTATGGAGTCTTCCCCTTTTAATCATGTACGACATCTTCTATTTTTACTTCTATTAAAAATCCAGTAGGCACACGTATGGTGAGATGGTTGCAAAAAAAAAATGCAAAACAAAATTATTTTGAATGAGATTCTCCATATGGCACAGTTATTATGAGTAAGTAAGTAAGTAAGTAAAGGCCCTCCCATTGATCATCGATTTGCTCGAGCGGGCCCAGTAACGTCTCCATTGGAGACTTTGTTGTTACTGTGTCTGGCATTCTGCAAAATCACCCTTAGACCCTAGGTGCAATTGTGTTTTGGTGCTGATGTGTGCCAGATAGGTGACACAGAGGATCTGCACAGGGAAAGGGAAGGTAAGGAAGCATTTATTTATGTGCCAGAGGGGAGATAGATCAAGCGTAGATCATATATCTATCATGTAGAAGACTCTAAGTTCAACGGGGCTGGCGAGATAGCACAGCAGGTAGGGCGTTTGCCTTGCACGCGGCCGACCCGGGTTTGATTCCCAGCATCCCATATGGTCCCCTGAGCACCGCCAGGAGTGACTCCTGAGTGCAGAGCCAGGAGTAACCCCTGTGCATCGCCAGGTGTGACCCAAAAAGTGAAAAAAAAAAAAAAGAAAACTCTAAGTTCATTTCCTGGCATCACCCGTGTAAAGGGGGAGAAGCATTATTGTAACAATGCAGGCAAGAAGTACCCAGGAGTAAATTAAAGAGGGTATGCATTTAGAGTTAGAGAATTTACATAAAGGAGTCAGTGACTGATGGAATGCTAGAACTGAGAGGGAGTAACGGAGACTGACTCACACTCTTGCACTGGGACAGTGGGTGTATAAGGGACAGTGGGACCACTTATTCTCTGATTATCGGTGCATGAACAGGTTGGAAGGGAACGTGATTTTTTTTATTTGGAACATTTGGAGGGTTCAAGTACTCATGGGAAAACGAAGTGCAGTGGAGGCAATTAAACCCTGGATTTAGGGAATTCATGGGAAAGTGTATCCCTTCCTGGATAAGTGGGAGCAAGAGCAGACGTAGGTTGAGATTCCTGAACTTGTATGGTCATCCAGGGAAAGCTCAGATTATTAGAGCAAAGGACTTGGCTTAGAATCCTATCAGCATTAAGGCATGAAAAGTGGAAGAAAACAGAGACGTGAAGTGAGCACTAATGTAGGCAACTAATGAACTAGAGGTTGGCATAGAAACCAAGGAAGGAAGCAGTTTTAGCAAAAGGAGCCACAGAGGGGGTGGATCCCTGCTGTGAAAAGGTCAAGATAGATAACAGGGGACGTTTTCCCTGGGTTTCGGACACATGGATGTCACTGGGCACCACTGAAGTCTCAGTAGACTAGAATTTAGACAGTAGTGGGCTGAGAGTAGAAGGTCAAAATTAGACCTAGTTAGAACCCAGTGAAAATTCTGGTCTGGAAAAGAGGCAGAAAGAACCCTTGTTAACCAGGAGCAGGAAGTACCCTCAAGGGCAGATTGAGTCCTGCAGTACTGTAGGTGTAATAACGTGTATGTTGCCTCTCTGGGAAAGACCCCGAGAAGAAATAGTAGGTGTTAGAAAGGGGCTTGTTAAGTGACTCCCAGTGGGAACTGAGCCCACCAACCAGAATGACTAGCCTTTGTGGTTTTGTTTGGGGGCTACACCCAGCAGTGCTGGGGAAGGGGAGACTTCAGGGAATTGCGAGGTACTAGGATCAAGCCCAGAGCCCCCACATACAATACATGCACTGTGGCCCTTTGAGCTCCACAGCAACAGCAAGGGAAGTTCAAGTGCAGGTACTGTGTCTATGAGTGAAGTAGACAGTCAAAAGGCCTCCTGCCAAATCACCCAGTGTTTTCTTATCTTGTCTCATCTCCTCTCCTTGCCTTTCCTCTCTCCTAGTCTCTCCTCTTGTTCTTTCCCTCACCTCCTGCCCTCTCCACCCTCCCCTTTTCTCCCTCTTTCCCTCTCTTCTCTTGCCTTCCTGTCCCTGTCTTTGTTTTTGGCTTCTAGGGAACATTTAACCCTAAGAGTGATGGCAGACTAGTTAACTGGGCATGAGAAAGTGGGATCAGAGGAGAGGCTAGATTTTGAAATACAAGTAGGGTGGAGGGGGGGTTAGGAAAATGCTGACTCCCTTTATCTTCCTAGAGGACAGAAGGAACACCAGGATCAAATCATTACTTTTGGGGGGGTTGATTTTGGTGGGCCATATCTAGCACCGTGGCAAAAAAAAAAAAAAAACAGCAATTTGGAGAGAAGAGAGGAGGTAGAGGAAGAGGGTAGGGTGCAGTTCCTTTCTGGCAGATTCCACAGGGTATGGTGAATGGGAGTTGGGGTGAACTCGCAGAGAAGGAAGCACTCGTGATGGGGAAGCCAGAGCTGGAGGGGAGAAAAATCGAGGAAACGGCAGGGAGGGGAGATAGGTGGGATTCACAGCCTGAAGGTTTTGGCTAAGACTTTAGTTCAGAGAGCAGAATGGTAGCACAGCAGGTAGGGCTCTTGCCTTGCAGACGGCTGACTTGGCTTGGATCTCTGGTATCCCCATGCCCCGCTGAACCTAACAGAAGTGATCCCTGAATGCAGAGCTGGGAGTAAGTCCTGAGCACCTTTAGGTGTGGCCCCCAAACAAACAAAAAGTTTAATCTAGGAATCATTTGGTATTGACATCCAATGGACTTCGGACTTCTGTGCTCTCTGTTCTTGTTCCATGACCTTAAACTTTTGCTTCAAGTTTAAAATAGAACTTGGCAGGGGAGTGCGGGGGGCGGGACGCGGAGTGATAGTACAGCAGGGAGGGCTCTTGCCTTGCATGCAGTCAACCTGGGTTCGATCCCCATTATCCCATATGGTTCCCCGAGCACCGCCAAGAGTAATGCCTGAATTCAGAGTCAGGAGGAACCCCTGAGCATCACTGGGTGTGGCCCAACCCCTCCGCCAATTATATAAATTTATAATTCCTCCACCTGTCTCGGAGATCTCGGCAAGCTACGGAGAGTATCTCGCCCGCAGAGCAAAGCCTGGCAAGCTACCCATGACGTATTCGATATGCCAAACATAGTAACAAAAAGTCTCACAATGGAGACATTACTGGGCCTGCTCGAGCAAATCAATGAACAACGGGAGGACAGTGCTACAGTGCAGTGCTAAATAAAAATAGAAATTGGGGGGCAGAGAAATAGTATGGGGGTACGGTACGTGCTTTGCATGCAGATTCTCTTGGTTCAGTCTCCAGCACCACACATGATCCCTGGAGCATAAAGGTCACGGTCACAGTCCTCCCGTTGTTCATCGATTTGCATTCAGGAGTCCTGCCTCGTAGTGCTCTGGGAACACTATGGGATGTAGAGGATCAAACCCAGGTCAGCCACGGTCACGGTCACGGTCCTCCCGTTGTTCATCGATTTTCTCAAGCGGGCCCAGTAACATCTCCATCATGAGACTTGTTGTTACTGTGTTTGGCATACTGAATACGTCACAGGTAGCTTGCCGGGCTCTGCCGTGTGGGCAAGATACTCTCAGTAGTTTGCCGGGCTCTTCGAGAGGGGTGGAGGAATCAAATTTGGGTCGGCCATGTTGGCCGCTTGTAAGGCAAACGCCCTACCGCTGTGCTATTGCTCCAGCCCGGAGCATAAAGATAGGAGTGATTCCTGAGCAGTGTTAGGTATGTCTCCACCCCGACCCCCAAAATAGAAACTTCATAAATAATTGTTCTCAGCATCTCAAAATAGGTAACACAGACACAGATCCACTCACCTCGCCAGAGGGGTTCCGCTCAGTTGGTAGGCATGCAGGAGGAAGGAGCATCATGTGTGCACTGTTTTCCCAGCTCCCAGAGGACGTTCTCCCAGCCCACAGCCCATGGATCATTCCAGAGGCAGCTCTGCAAACAGAAGCATGAGGAGGGTGGGAAATATAGTTTTTTTTTTTATGTGCTCAAATCATTACTTTTGGGGGTTTTGGTTTTGCAGTGCTCAGGGATTACTCCTGGCTTTGTGCTCAGGGATCACTCCTGGCAGGACTCAGGGGATCATATGGGGGCCACCATGTGGCCATATGGTCAGCCACATGAGACGCCGATGCCCTACCTGCTGTACTTTTTTGAAATGAGACACTTTTGATGTTCAATTTTCTAATACTTTATGTTCCTAATTAACCCCAGTTCCAGAATTCAGAAATCCAGGGCTTCTCTGATGCCCCAGAAACCAAACCTGGGAAGATGGAACCGTCCAGCAGAGTTCCACGCCCACCTCCGTCCTTGCTCAGCCGACGAAATGAAACATCAGGGGTGTCTTCCTTAGTCCCCTCCCCTCCTCCCCTCCATTTCTGGAGAGGAAAGGCAATTTATATGTAATCCATTGCCTTTTCCCCTAAAGTGAGGTTTGGGACAAGTGAGCTGCTGAGACTAACCCAGGCAGTGAGGGTTCCAAGATGACCTTTGCCTCAGGAGATCATTTGCATCTTGTTATGTTTGGCTGATGATCATAGGTTCAAGGTATATTTAAATCTCAGCTGGTTCCGGGAGAGTTCCTGTAACTCATCTTCCTAGCTTTTGTCTTCTGCCCTGTGGAGAGGTGAATATTTATTGCCTTAGGAGCTATCCAGAGGGATGTGGAGCTTCCTTTGGAAGTTATTTGCTCCCCTCTTGCAGGTGTCAGGTTGTGCTAAATGGTAGTTTCGCTTGTCTTCTTGGCATTTATTTTTGTGTAGGACCCAGCAGAATCATTTCATGGACCCTGTGCTTCGGCATCAAGCCAGTTTCTCCCTGCCTTTTGGAGGCGGGCCAGAGACTAAGAAGTCAGACACCTTGGCCGATGGAATTCTCTAGAAGGGGACTGTGCAGTGTGGCTCTGGGTGTCCGCTCCTCGCCAGGTCACCCGAGAGCATGTCTTCAGAATCATTGACTCTTGTCTGTTTATAACACGTCTCTGTCTCGCCCTCCTCTCTGAAGGCAGGCGGGCACCCCCAGTGGGGGTCAGGAGAGTCTCAGAGGGATAGATGAAAGGAGACA